GATTAGTGTAGAATCGATTAATTTTATGGAAGAAAACCTTTCAATCAGCCGTAGTCCGTAAACTTGACACGTGTCGGGCTGTGATTGGAACGACTTGTAAGAAATCGGATTCCTAATAAATTGGAACGTATCTATATCTTATAGGGGGGTCGACTGTAAATTGTTACTTTGGTCATTTCTAAAGATGTTTAAAACAGAAAATTCTTATTCGATGTAAACTTTTGTTTTAAACACTTTCTAAATTACGTTTTTTTGAATGGTGTACGCCGAAGGTAGGGGATGTGCGCTGGACGAAGGCGAGAGAAAATTCCTTCACGCGAAAGGAAGGATTCTCCTTTTCCGCCTAAGCATTTCTACGTAAGGAAGTGAATGTTGAGTGAATAACGCTTGAAACGACACAAGTGTTTGGCAGTATTTTGATGGTAGTTTCGTGGAATGCGATTATCGTTAATTTTTCTCGACCGCGATTCTCTTTTCTTCCTTATTTATCTTTCGGGTTGGTGTGGTTTTCTCACTGCAACAAAGATGGCTACCTCCATTGTTGAAATGTGTGAAGTTGAATTCTTATATGATGTGACAGTAAGATTATAAGGTTTTGATCATCTTGAATCGATATTCTGTTTATACTAATTAAAAAAATACTCATTAGTCAAATAAAATCAGATTTGACAAAACTTGTGTATTTAAAATGATTTATTATCTGTTTTATGATGCAGGACGAAGCTGCATACACTAAATTTAAATCATTAATTTTATGTCCCAAACAAGGCATTGCATTGCAAAAATGAATTACTTTCAAAATGTTTCTAGTTAAATAATTCTGAAAATATTCCAAGAGCTGCACCAAGATCCACAATTTTAAAACTGCAGCGCTCATGCAGGTACTCTGAATTTAATAAGCTGTTTCATTCGTAATTGACATTTTTGCGTCTGCAACCTTTAAGCCTGGACACAAAACCCGCGTGTCGAAAGTAAACGCTTTTTCGCGTGTAAATTGATGGAAAAACAAGCATCCTAGCTGGGTTAATGATAACTAATGGCTGGCCACGCAGAGTTTTCCGGGTTTTCTTCACGTCTGTAATGCCTGAATAGGGGTCAGTTACCCTTAAAAAGACCTCCTGGAAGGCATCCTCCTAGGCAGATCGCCCAAGTGTTGCATTGCCGTAAATTAACAAAACAAACAAACAAACATAACTAATATTACAACTAATAAAAAAAACTCACAAACACCACAGCGGTGAGAGCACAAGATAGAATAGAGCGAAGGTGCATAAAAGGTCGTTTCCTGCAATTTTCGCACGATGTCATTATGTGTATAAATCCACTCTAATTGATTGATGGTTCTGTTTTACTGATGTATTCGCATCCTAAGTTGAACACCACTCAACTCACTTTACGTTCGTTGTACTGTACAGTACATCTCGCTTCAGCTATGGTTACGTGATTCAAAATAATTACTGCCAGGGTTTTTACGTTAGTGGAGTCGGCCTAACGCCTCTCGATCTTCCCATATTTGGCCACCAGAAGAGACTATAGTCATTCTTCCATTTTTGTTCATTTAATTAAGATTTTTTCCGTCAACGGAAAACGCGCAAATTTTAGAAAGAAATAAACAGAATGATAAATGTTCCCTATCTTTAAATTAGCAGGTAGGACCAGCGTTGCTTGGGCAAAAGTAACAATACGTAACTAAGATTAAGATTATTACGTTACAGTCACAGAATGCAAGAATTGGGTCCCCTTGTTTTCAGACTAATTAGAGAATTTTTAGATGGTTCTAAAAATATGTTCGATTTCCCGCAAAAACGAAAAAAACTGCGTCTGTGTCTTGCACGTCGCTTTCTCTTAACAATTCCATTGTTACTTAACACTTCCATTGTTGATGGAAGTGTTAAGCCTTAATCCCCCCATGGGGAGGAATTTCGAAAAATCCCTTCTTAGTGTGCGTTCTTGTAACGTACCCTGTGTACCAAATTTCAACTTTCAACTCCTAACTGTTTGGGCTCTGCGCTTATTATTATTATCATTATCATCAACTTGTCTCAATTATACATATAGATGGGAAATTCCCAACCTTTTCTAAATAGCAGAACACTTTGATTATAAAAAATTTAATTCCTGTAATTAGAGTGTTGAGCCAAAATACCTTTTAGCGCAAAACTTCTTCTCTAAATGGGAATTGAAAATCACTTAAAATTTTTGTCTCCGGATTGAAGGAAGTTTTGTCATTTTAAACTTTTCCTGGCCTATGGGCATAAGGGAACGTTTTTAACCATATTCATCATGCGTTTAGCCAGGTCCATAAAGGAGGAAACTGGATGACGAGGAACAGGACTCAAGATATCTGGTACAAATTCCCATGGAAAATTCCTGAAGTTACTGGCATTGATTCGATCCCACTTCCCTAGAGAAATAGGATAATGCCATAACACACTGTTAATCATAATGGGAATGAGTGTCAGAGTTGGATCCTGATCCATAATATAATCATAAATGTGTGGTTGAGTCAAATAATTAGGCTTTAATGAAAATATTATATTAATCCTATACATCTTGAAGTAGTTTTTGTTGTCCTTGCTGAGTCTTTTTTAATTAGCATTGATATTAATTAACAAACTGCGTATTGCCATACAGATACCAGTTTGTTTGTTTTTTTTTTTTTTTTTTTTATCAGAGGGCACTTCCTCTTTCTGGAGCATGAGCCCCAACTTTTCTAACAAGCAATACTATGAGAAGTGTTAGTAAATGTTTTTATTTTTATCTTCAGGTAACCAACTGAAGTGTGACTGCCAGTTGGCAGGGTTTGCCAGTTTTCTCAAGAACTACCAGTTGGATGGAGTAGATGATACTCAATGTTTTTCTCCTGCCCATCTTCAAGGTGAAGATGTTATCGATGTGGACTTTTCCCTTATGAATTGTTTAGCTAGCCACAACAGCTGCGATGGTCCTGATGAATTTCTGCCACCAAAATTTAGTGTGGATTTTGTTAAAATAGAATACAGATCAGATGCGACAATGGATTTGTGGTGGAGTGTGGAAAGTGAAGGTCACCTTCTCCCAGGAGTTTACAAATGCAATGTTTCCTATTCAGTTGTGGGGGAAGATGATTATAGCCACATCAGCATAGAAGACTGTTTCTCTTTCAGTAACCATTCTAAAAATAGTTCCATGAACCTGGTGCTTTTCCCTGGAGAATACAACTACAATGTATGCATAGTAATATTTTACACAAAGAACAATTCTCTCTATTATAATTATTGTTCTGCTATCCATTACCAAAATCCCACTTCTGGCCCATTGAAAGGTGGTGGAATGGATACCACCATAACTTCTTCTTCAACACAAACCGAAACCCAAACTTCCAGCCCGTTGGATGATAGTGGAGTGGCTACCACCATCACTACTTCTTCAACACAAATGCAAACCCAAACTTCAATAACTTCTCGCCAGGCGACTACTGTAACTGTAGAAACCACCACTTCTATTGTCTCTAATCCGGATAGCAATTCCATCACCATGATGAGATGGACAACAATAGCATCCCAGTCATCTTCTAACCAGAACACAGTTTTTGTTTGGATTGATGAAAATGATAAACTTTATGTCTCTTGGAATGGGACAGAAGAAAAGGTAAACAGTTTCTGCCGCCTTCAACTCTCTGTCACCTCACGTAACCAAACAAAAAAAACAGAGAGGAGAGACTGTGGCAGTGGTTCCATGCATCTTGACCCTTTAGATCTGGGAGAGGACTTTGAAATCTGCCTTTCCACATATCGTAATTTCTCTCAAGAACAAAATCATTGCACTCACTTTAAGAAACCACTTCTGGCAGAAAGTAGCCATTCCAATGAAGGCCAACCAATAGCAACAGGGGCAGCATTTCCATCAATTATTCTGGTGACTATTCTGGTGGGATCATTAATTTTGGCATCAGTGGCCCTGATAACCCTGGTGGTGTTCTTAATCAAATTTATGTGGAAGAGGAGAGGTGAATCAAGTCGATATGATGTGAGCAAAGAAGAGAGCTCCCAGAAAAACAAAAGGAGATCAAATTTGTATTCTGTCAGTCTGGCAGAAGATGATGCAGCCATCTGATATATTTTAACTATGTGTAATTCCTTTGTATCAGTTGGAGAAAGGAAGATGAATTCTTATTCACTTGATATAAGACAAACTCATGACCAAAATAAAAATAATAATTCACAAAAGTTTGATGTTTCTATTTGTTACTGATCCAAAAATACAAGTTTTCATACTTTATTAAAAAAATATGGGATAAAATTGTGTTACTTGTAAGTTTAATTTATTATAACAACTGACAATAAATGAAGCAGTGGTGAACAAAATTTACAAATTTTAACAATTGATTAAACTACATATTTGGCTAATAACTAAATATTATTAATAAAAAATTAGTGGTAAATCCTTTTTGAATGACATTTGAGACTAGTTCATATTTTGAGTGTGAAAAAGATACTAAATTTAGTATCATTTGTGGACACTTCACACATTACTTGTGCCATAATTCCATTCTTTTTTGGTTTATGGAAAAAATAGAAGAAAGTTCTTTCTCCACACTTCTTTGCATTGTTAATGGACAGGTTTAATGATGACATCAAGTTGTTCAATGGCATGGTAACTTATAAGTTACCATGCCAAATTTAATTAAACCTTTCTTAATCTTTACTCCATTTCTTTCATTAATATGCAAGATACCAACACACACTGAAGTTTTTCCTTTTTTTTTTTTTTTTTTTTACTTTTACTTTCTCAGCTGTTAGGTATATAACATGGAATTGTGTCAAATTTTACCTTCCAGGTTCTTGACATTTTGAAACCACTGAACAAAAAAAAAAAAATCAAAGCAAGGAAAAAACTTGCTGGTGTATTGGCTTCTATATTAATATCCCAGGATGAGGAAAAAATTAAGAAACAAAATTTGGCATGATAAGCTTGTATATAAAAGGTATTTATTGATGCTATTAAAATTTGATGGTTAAAGTTTGAGGAGGTAGGGAAATAGAGGTGATGGTGTGATGTCTCGAATGGGGTCAGACTTTATAAAAATTTTAATCATCATCAGCATTAACAGTATTTTTAAAAGCTCATCTCTATCTTCAAAATTAAGTCTTGCCTTTTTATTATAATTAATTGTTTGAAAGTTATATATTTAATAAAATCTCATAACATATAGCACAATACACAATTTTATAAGGTGTTTTTCTTAAACAATTTTTTTTTGCCAGGAAGTTATGCAACTCATTGCTGGAGTTTTTTTGGAGTCAAATTTGACACAATTCCAATATTTTTCTGTGTTATATACATAGCAGCAAGAAAGTAAAAACCAAAACATCATGAAAAACAAAGCAATTTTTCATATTTTTACTGTATGAGGAATTTGCTTATTTTGTACATTCATAGTGACATTTCATATTCACTTAATGCAGTGGTTTTTATTTAATTTTCTGAATTGCTGAATCAAAATATTTTCAGATAAGCTGGATTATGTAATATTCTCATCTAGAATGGAAGTTTGTTTGATTTGAAACACAATTGAAGTTATAATTCATATTCTGAAAATTTGATTGTTATCAGGATCAGGTGGTCAATCTTAGGCTGTGTACACACTAGGCGTTTTTCAACGCGCGTTTTAAAGAACCAAGAGTTCTATGTAGGCGTACACACTCAAACGCCAAGCGCGTGTTTATAGATTTTTGTTAAAACGCGCGTTTTGCGAGCGCTTTGAGATATATGTGCTGCCATGTTACCGTACATGTGATCGCGCGTTTTGCGGGCGTCAGCCGAGCGCTTTGAGATATATGTGCTGAAATGGAGAACGATCATTTCGATACTGATCTATTTAGTGATGAAATCTAAAAGAGACCAACCATCATCAAAGGATTTTATAGATATTTTAAAAGAATTAAAAAACTTGAATTTATTTTGTCTTAGTTTTGGATACAACGTCGCAAACATTTCATGCGTCAGTCTATCTCGTAATATTGGGTGCACCCAAAATTCTCTTTGCCTCTGCCATCGTCTTTTATAGCGACGATAGAGGAGCAATCACTTCCACATCCATTTCCAAACCGAGCCAGTGCGCACGCTTCGCTAAACGCTCGTCGAACGCCGAGCTAACGTGCGTTGAAAAACGCCTAGTGTGTACAGGCTCTTAGTCAGGCCACTTGATTTGTACATTATAGTTCACTAGGCCTAACTTTATCAATCATTAAGTTTAGCAAAAACAAAGGGTGGGCCAATATTTTATTTGACTTTTTATGACCCTTGAAAGCTCCTCTGGCCATAAAGTGGTGAGCAGCAGATGGCACATTAGATCCCAGGACAATAATCCTTTGACCAGATATCATCAGTCTGAAACTTGGATTGGCTTTGTCCACCAGTTGGGGATCCAGATAAAAGGGGAAGAAACAAAGAAAATGGGACACTGAGATCACTGTCAGATAGATAGACATATTGAGTCAGAAACTCACCTCATTCGTTTCCAGTTAGTAAAGTCCTATGAAAAAAGGAGGCAAATGGTTAGTTTGAATCAGGGATCTTAAAGCTAACATTTTAATCCGATCACAGAATCACAAAATTGGGGAACTTTGTGATGAAAGTCTGCTTGGTAATGATATATAACCAGGGTGGGCAAGCAAAAGTTCAGTGGGAGCCGAAATGTAGGTTTTGCAAAATGCATGGGAGCTGGAGTTCAGTACTTTTTTATTCTGTACTGTGATTTTATTATATAATATAAATATAATATAGAACAAATATTGAATTATTTTAATAAATATATTTTCACAAAATTGTGGAAATAGAATTGTAAAAATAACAACAACAAGCAGAAATTAAGACTTTCAGCAAGAGCCGTATGTAACTCAAAAAGAGCCGCATTTGCCCATGTCTGGTATATAATCTGTAAATGAAGTATAAATACTTCTTTTCCTTCATTTACAGATGGTCTTTTCCTTCAAGACCATAAAAGTGTGTTTTCTCACAAATTTGAGCAGAAGCAAAAGTGACCAAAAGAGTTGATTATGACACCAGACTATATATATGTAGATACATTTTGAATACTGTAGTGATTATGATTTTTAGATTTGACTTTGACTAATCTAATGCCAATCTAACTGCAGAACATACACAGGAGCAGTTTTTTCAAAGTTGAAGCAGATATTTTATTAGACATCTCTTTCTGTACATATTACTATGTACAGAAAGAGCACAAAAGATGGAAACAATTCTACCTCTAATTTTGTACTTCTTATGCTTTTATGTCTGCTTAAAATATTCCTAAAGTATTAAATTTTACTATGCCACAGTGTTTTAATGTACACTTCTATATGTCCTCTGCAACATGGAATGTGAAAGATTTCATCATGGATTCTCTCTTTCAGTTCCTTGATGTAGGCTGGTTTAGTGGAAAACTTGCATCTTAACATGCTCCCAAAGATATAAATCCAGAGAGGTCTTGTTGGGTGATCTTTGCACCTATTCCATAGTCCTTCATGTCTAATGTCTAATGCCCCATCTATCAGGGAATCTTGAATTCAAGAATTGCCAGATTGTGCACCTGCATACTATGCAAGAACTATCTTGTTAGAAAATTGTATAAACACAACCACAAAATGTAAATCTGTCAGAAAAAATGTCTGAAATATTTTTTAGATACTGTAATTTTTATAATTTATAGTTTCTTCCTCTAAAAATCAAGGACCAATGATTCCATTTCTACTGAACATACAACAAACCATTGGATGAAAAAATTACGAATTATGACTGTGAAATATTGTCACCAGGGGAAACCTTTTTAATCTACATTTTCCAGTGCTCTCTTTTTTGTGGATAAAAGGCCAAAACATCCCCAAGAAAGTACAGATGGTAACAAGAAAGATGTTCATATAACACCAGTTCTGATATTAGAAAATCTTTGTGTTTTTAATTGGAAATCTTTTTGTATTTTTAAAAGGACTTTTTTAAAACTTTTTGGCGGCTAGTAGCCTAGAAAGGACGGTTGGTCGCCAGAAATGTACTGTCTAGAACGCAAAATAAAAAAATGGTGATCCCTATTTGGGCGAACTTGTCTTCGAATATTAAAAAATAAAAAGAACCATCAGACGAAAAATTTACAAATACACCAAACCATTGATGCCTGATGAATCACTTTTGTAGTTCTGCATTAACTGTGCTATAAATTCAGTAATTGTGATGATTAACTCTGTCACTCATATTAAAGGTCAAAAAAGGAAAAAAAAAGATATGATCCAGAGCATTGAAGTAGCATCATCTTCAATTTCAGTTTAGGAGAATTCACACCTATCTGTCTATTTTTGACAGATGTTTTAGAGCATCTGTGTTTCTTAACCTTTTTAGTGATTAGTACTCCCTTGGATCCCAAAATACGGTCTCACATCCCCTTGAAAATTGTCCAAATTTTTTTTATGAATACAAATGAGTTGATGATGATAAAGGTAGAGAGAATCCTGATTACCATTGTAGATTTTCAGTTTATCATAGGTTCTGAGAGTATACAGTACAGTTGAGTCAATTTTTATAGCATAAGAGTTTAAAATTTTATATTACATACCTCAAAGTTAAAAACCTATTGTTACCACTTGCACCCAAGTAAAAAACACTGTTTTTGAGCACAAACAATCTGAATTTTGTATTCATTACAACAATATGTTTATGTAATAGTTTACATAGAAATTTGAGTCTTGGAATTCCACAAAATATAGTATCTTTGTGGGAAGTTTTTTAGACTCCCATTCAATGCTTCATGAACCTTTTCCACAATTTCATTTGATATCTTGGATGACAAAGGCTGTATATAGTGTTTCATCAAATTCAGCAATGTTTTTCTTGTAGCTGGTTCTTCCTAAATTTTCAATGAACTAACACCAGTAACTCTAATTCAAGTAACCATTTAAATGCAGTAGTTTTTCATTTTTATAACCACTTAAAATGAGCTTTTTATTAAAAATGCTCATTTTAAGTGGTTATAAAAGTTAATCATTATATCTGGTAAATATCGCTAAGTTTTAGTTTTGTACTAGTAGTAGTTTTTTTTTTGTAAATGGCATCATTTTTATTTTGAGCTATGGACTTGCATGTACTGTACACTGAAAGTGGAATAATCTATAAAAAATGTAAAGCTGACTCCCCTAAAAGATATACCCATGTATACTGTGGCATGCTTATGGGGGAGATGTGGGTGTCGGATCGCTCTCCAGAGGCTTTAGGAATAAAATTTAACTAAAAAAATTGCTCTCAAACAGC